GACCTCAAAAACCTACCCACATCCTGGTTGACACGTTCCACCTGCCCATTACTCTCTGGTTGGTACCTTGAGGTAAGGCTTACCGAGACCCCCAACCGTTCCATGAACGCTCCCCAAACTCTGGAAGTGAACTGGGGACCTCGGTCAGACACAATATCCTCGGGGACCCCATAGTGCCGGAAAACATGGGTGAATAGGGCCTCAGCGGTTTGTAGGGCAGTAGGGAGACCCGGCATGGGAAGGAGACGACAGGCCTTGGAAAACTGATCCACAACGACCAAAATGGTGGTATTCCCCTGGGAGGGGGGAAGGTCGGTTACGAAATCCACCGATAGGTGTGACCATGGTCGTTGCGGAACGGGCAGGGGATGTAGCTTACCCCTGGGCAAATGTCTAGGCGCCTTACACTGGGCACACACCGAGCAGGAGGAGACATAAACCCTCACATCCCTGGCTAACGTTGGCCACCAGTATTTCATGCTAAGACAGTGCAATGTCCGGCCAATACCAGGATGTCCAGAGGAGGGTGATGTATGAGCCCAATAAATAAGTCTATCACGAATCTCGAGCGGGACGTACGTCCGCCCCACAGGACACTCGGGGGGAGTAGGGTCGGTACGCAGTGCCCGCTCGATTTCTGAATCGACCTCCCACACCACCGGAGCCACCAAACAAGACTCCGGCAGTATGGAAGTAGGCTCGTTGGACCTCTCCTCTGTGTCATATCGCCGGGACAGGGCGTCTGCCTTACCATTCTGGGACCCAGGGATGTATGTGATCTTAAAAACGAACCGGGTTAGGAACATGTTCCACCTAGCCTGACGAGGGTTCAATCTCCTAGCTGCCCGGATGTACTCCAGGTTACGGTGATCCGTCAGAATGAGGAAAGGGTGTTGAGCCCCCTCAAGCCAATGCCTCCACACCTTTAGGGCCTGGACTACGGCTAACAGCTCCCTGTCCCCGACATCATAGTTACTCTCCGCCGCACTGAGCTTCTTAGAGTAGAACGCACAGGGGCGGAGTTTAGGTGGCGTGCCGGACCGTTGTGATAGAACTGCCCCAATACCAGTCTCGGACGCGTCTACCTCAACCTGGAATGGTAAAGAGGGATCCGGATGCGCCAGCACAGGAGCCGAGGTGAACAGGTTCTTAAGTTTGACAAATGCCCTGTCCGCCTCAGCCGACCACTGCAAGCGAACCGGACCCCCCTTTAGCAGGGACGTAATGGGAGCTGCAACCTGTCCAAAACCCCGAATAAACCTCCGGTAGTAATTAGCAAAACCCAAGAACTGTTGCACCTCTTTTACAGTGGTTGGAGTTTGCCAATTACGCACGGCCGATACCCGGTCTACCTCTATCTCCACACCAGACGCGGACAACCGATAACCGAAAAAGGAGACGGACTCCTGGAAGAACAGGCATTTCTCTGCCTTGACATACAAGTCATGCTCCAACAGTCGTCTCAACACTCGGCGTACCTGGGCTACATGCTCGGCTCGAGTAGCAGAGTACACTAGGATGTCGTCTATGTACACTACTACTCCCTGCCCATGCATGTCCCGGAAAATCTCGTCAACAAAGGATTGGAAGACTGAAGGAGCATTCATTAAACCGTATGGCATGACGAGATACTCGTAATGACCCGAGGTGGTGCTAAATGCTGTCTTCCATTCATCCCCCTCCCTAATGCGCACCAGATTGTACGCGCTCCTGAGATCCAACTTTGTGAAGAACCGCGCTCCGCGTAATGACTCCGTCATCGTCGCAATCAGTGGAAGTGGGTAGCTGTATTTAACTGTGATCTGATTGAGACTACGATAATCAATACACGGGCGCAATCCACCGTCCTTCTTCTTCACAAAGAAGAAACTCGAGGAGACTGGGGAAGTAGAGAACCGTATGTATCCCTGTGCCAAGGACTCTGCTATGTAGGTCTCCATAGCCGCAGTTTCCTCTTGAGACAGGGGATACACATGACTCCGGGGAAGAGCCGCTCCGGTCTGGAGATTTATCGCACAGTCCCCCTGTCTATGAGGAGGTAGCCGTGCTGCCCTCGATTTGCTAAACACGAGTGCTAAATCCTCATACTCGGGGGGAATGCGCAGTGCGGGCCCTTGGTTCGGACTCTCTACCGAGGTCGCCCCTATGGAAACACCTAGACATCTCCCTACACACTGGGCAGACCACTCCATAAGAGCCCTCTGTTGCCACGCTATGGTAGGATCATGGGTACTTAACCAGGGAAGGCCCAACACCACTGGGTACGCAGGAGAGTCAATCAGATAGAACTGAATGATTTCCTCATGACCCCCCTGCGCCGTCATAGTCAGTGGTGCTGTGACATCCCTGATCAGACCCGACCCCAACGGCCGGCTGTCTAATGCGTGGACAGGGAATGGAACTTCTACCGGCCGAAGGGGAATTCCTAACCTAGCACAAAATGCTCGATCAATAAAGTTCCCAGCTGCGCCTGAATCTACTAGCGCCTTATGCTGGGAATGAGGTGCCACCTGTGGAAACCTCACAGGAATACTCATGTGACCAACAGAGAGCTCTGGGTGAGTGGGGCGCCTACTCACCTGAAATGACTCCCCAGTGCGTGGCCTGTTGTCACCTCTCCCAGGAGACCCTCCCCAGCACCTGGCCGCAGTGTGTCCTCCACGACCGCAGGTGGTGCAGTGGATGGCCCCCCTCGGGTTCCCTCTCCTCCTCTCTCTAGCGCCAGCACCCCCTAGCTCCATGGGAATCGGCTCGGGGGTGCTAGAGGGTGGACTGGACGACCCCCACTCGGGACGTCCGCGGGTAGCCAGCAGGGTATCCAGACGGATGGAAATGTCCACCAACTGGTCAAACGACAGGTTGGTGTCCCTGCAGGCCAGCTCCCTACGAACGTCCTCTCGTAGACTACATCGGTACTGGTCGATGAGGGCCCTCTCATTCCACCCCGCATCCGCCGCTAGTGTCCGGAACTCCAGTGCGAACTCCTGTGCGCTCCTCTTCCCCTGTCGGAGGTGGAATAGACGCTCTCCCGCCGCTTTCCCCTCAGGGGGATGATCGAAGACAGCCCTGAAGCGGCGGGAGAACTCCGCGTAGGTGATGGTAGCGGCGTCTATTCCCCTCCATTCGGCGTTGGCCCATTCCAACGCCTTGCCGGAGAGACAGGAGATGAGGGCGGAGACGCTCTCGTATCCCGAGGGCGCCGGGTGTATAGTGGCAAGGTACAGTTCTACCTGCAGGAGGAATCCCTGACACCCGGCTGCAGAACCGTCATATGCCCTCGGGAGTGAGAGCCGAATGCCACTGGGTTCCGGTACTGAGAGAGGAGGACTGGCCGTTGGTGATGCGAAGTTGTAAGGGTCCTTGGCCACCTCAGAGTTCACCAATCGGCGCAGGGCGTTGGACACCTCGTCCATGACGGTCCCGAGTTGCTGGATCATGGCGTCCTGGAAATTGATCCGGTCCAGCAGGGATTCGGGTGCCGTCGCTGATCCTGCTGACTCCATAATGGTGTGTTGTTCTGTCATAAAACCGTCGTGGATGTGGTGGAGGAGTCAAGCGCAGGAAGCAGAGGTTTAGTCCAACAAGACTTTTAATAGTCTCAAAAGCAATAGTGTACACCCCGACCTCGAATAACACGAAGAGGCGAGGGAAAATTACGCACACGCGTAAAACACTAAACATAGAAAAATTATACGGAAAACAAACACGTATCAAAAATACAAGAGGCAACGGAAAAATAACAACACACAATTACCATAGAGCAAAACAAGGAACTTATAAGACACATAATCAACACTCAAACAGACACAGGTGTGACAGACAGACAAAAGCAATCAAACACAGAAACATAGAGCGGTGGCAGCTAATACTCCGGGGACGGCGAACGCCGAAGCCTGCCCGAACAAGGAGGAGGAGCAGCCTCGGCCGAAACCGTGACATCCAACAGACACTGAGAGACAAATTCACCTTTCAGCATTACAATAACCTTAAACACAAGGCCAAATATACATTGGAGTTGCTTACCAAGATGCCATTTAATGTGCCTGATTGCCCTAGTTACAGTTTTGACTTAAATCGGCTTGAAAATCTATGGCAAGACTTGAAAATGGCTGTCTAGCAATGATCAACAACCAACTTGACAGAGCTTGAAGAATTTAAAAATGAAAAATGCACAAATATTGTACAATCCAGGTGTGCAAAGCTCTTAGAGACTTACCCAGAAAGACTCACAGCTGTAATTGCTGCTAAAGGTGATTCTAACATGTATTGACTCAGGGGTCTGAATACTTATGTAAATTAGATATTTCTGTATTTCATTTTCAATACATTTGCAAAAAAATCTAAAAACATGTTTTAACTTTTTAATTATGGGGTATTTTGTGTAGATGGCTTAGAAAAAAAATCAATTTAATACATTTTGAATTCAGGCTGTAACACAACAAAATGTGGAATAAGTAAAGGTGGATGAACACTTTCTGAAGGCACTGTAACTAACATTGTTGTTCATCCAATATGCTTTCATTTTAAGTACAAAAAATTTACCATTACACCAAGTATCTGCAGAACACTACAGAGATTGCCTGAACTAATTGCAATTAGCGGTTCAAATATTCCTGAGGGTCAATGACTGGTGTGTGTGACTAGACTCTATTATAACTAATTTGTTTAATTACTGGAACATTTCTCAGGCTGCTGTGTGTGTGTGTGTGTGTGTGTGTGTCTTAGGATGTGAGATATTCACTTCAGCGTAACCATTAACTTGTAATCAGGAAAAACTAAAAAAGCTGCATTATTCAATAATAGATTAACAATTCCAATTACTCCTACACCTCCTTCTGAGTAGAGCCAAGTAATTGTCTCTCTACGGACTTCATAGTATGCCCAGCGTAGTTCTGTTTTTGTGTGTGTCCTGAAAAATACTTTATGTTGTATAGCTGTATTGATTCAGAATTAAACATCCCCATTCATTCTCACTCATCTGGAAACACTTTCCTAAGTGGCTACAGTTTTCTGAAATCAATTAGTTTAGACCTGGCTGTCCCTGAGCTCACCTTGTGGATGCCTTCAGAGGGGCTGGAGACTGAGTGTTCATGGCCGTTGTTCTTGTTGATGGTTCTCCAGAGCTCAGCGAAGGTGCTGTCCTGCTCCAGAGCGTTGGTGCCTTTGGCTCTGAAGTACTCGTACACGGCTGAGTCTCTCACTGTTCCGTAGGCTAGGTCCATCTGTTTGGACAAGTCCTGGAATGTCCTGTTGAGGGGAACAAAGGATATGGGTCACATGGGGGATAAGTAGTCATGTGCTGTTGGAGGACGCCCTATGCGACCAGAATGATTCATTTGTCCCAAAAAAATATTTCAAGCATACACAGTACACTGGATTCCTACTACCAGTTCCCTTCAGTGTTGCTTCTTGTAAGCATTTGTAATGTGTTAATTCAGGTATTCAAATGTTTTATATTCAGGGTAACTATCTAGAATAGTAGATAATTGGGATTCAACCACAGTCAAATATCGCCTTAGCACTTGAAGTTGTGCCTACGTATCTTTTCAAATTCTCTAACTTATTGGAAAGGAACTAATGAACAAAACAATGCAGAGGTGTTAAGTGCCAAATGTTGATGTCTTATAATAGGAAAATAAGAATAGAATATAGCTGCGAGCAGCAATGAAAAGGATGACAGAAAGGACATAATATCAGTTGGATAACAAAGCAAGCACTCTATCATGTAGGAACTATCTTCCTTTATGTGCAATCAGTGAAAGCATTACCATGTTTATCTCTCAATACTACAAGAATGACGCAAGTGAAGTTTAGTCATCGTTAAAGAAATTACTTAATTATTGAGTTTATATACCAATTCTGGGGTCAATTCGACTAATGGTTTATGTTAATATTTTCAGTGTTATTTTCACAATGTTTCACATTGTTTGTCTGCATAACTTAAATCTAACATTCATCTGCATGAGACAAAGTCCACTTGATCAATAGTTATTGCTCTAGTATCCTATGGTGCCACTGGTGCCAATGTCATTATACTTCCACCAACTAGTCTGGTGCAGCCAGGTTGCAGTAACTTTATATTCACACAGCTTCTAAGGACATACACTACCGGTCAAACGTTTTAGAACACCTACTCATTCAAGGGTTTTCCTTTATTTTTACTATTTTCTACATTGTAGAATAATAGTGAAGACATCAAAACTATGAAATAACACACAGGGAATTATGTAGTAACCAAAAAAGTGTTAAACAAATCAAACTATATTTTATATTTGAGATTCTTCAAATAGCCACCCTTTGCTTTGATGACAGCTTTGCACACTCTTGACATTCTCTCAACCAGCTTCACCTAGAATGCTTTTCCAACAGTCTTGAAGGAGTTCCCACATATGCTGAGCACTTGTTGGCTGCTTTTCCTTCACTCTGCAGTCCAACTCATCCCAAACCATCTCAATTTGGTTAAGGTCGGGGGATTGTGGAGGCCAGGTCATCTGATGCAGCACTCCGATCACTCTCCTTCTTGGTAAAATATCCCTTACACAGCCTAGAGGTGAGTTGGGTCATTGTCCTGTTGAAAAACAAATGATAGTCCCACTAAGCCCAAACCAGATGGGATGGCATATCGCTGCAGAATGCTGTGGTAGCCATGCTGGTTAAGTGTGCCTTAAATTCTAAATAAATCACAGACAGTGTCACCAGCAAAGCACCCCCACACCATAACACCTCCTTCTCCATGCTTTACGGTGGGAAATACACATGCGGAGATCATCCATTCACCCACACTGTCTCACAAAGACACAGCGGTTGGAACCAAAAACCTCAAATTTGGTCTCCAGACCAAAGGACAAATTTCCTCCGGTCTAATTTCCATTGCTCGTGTTTCTTGGCCCAAGCAAGTCTCTAGTATTGGTGTCCTTTAGTAGTGGTTTCTTTGCAGCAATTCAACCATGAAGGCCTGATTCACAAAGTCTCCTCTGAACAGTTGATGTTGAGATGTGTCTGTTACTTGAACTCTGTGAAGCATTTATTTGGGCTGCAATTTCTGAGGCTGGTAACTCTAATGAACTTATACTCTGCAGCAGAGGTAACTCTGGGTCTTCCATTCCTGTGGCGGTCCTCATGAGAGCCAGTTTCATCATAGCGCTTGATGGTTTTTGCGACTGCACTTGAGGAGAAGATGATTTTGTGCATTAGCGTTATATATGCAAAGAATGAGTTAATAGTTTCCCTGTTTTTTCACAGTACTAAATTCAGTGAGGTTCATGTTAGGGACATCCATGATAGCGATGACACGTTTCAAGTTGATAGGCAACTGTGGATTGGATTTACATTGGTTTAAATCAGTGGTCACCAACCTAGTCGATCACCAAACATTTCTGTGAAAAACCCAATGATAAAGACTGGAATTGTTATTCAGCACTGTCAACACTTTGTTTAACACTTTCATAAGCCAAAAAATGTGTGTTGTCCCTACTGCATTTGCAACAAATGACTATAGCAAAGTGTTTTGATAAGCTTGCGTTGTTATTATTAGCAGCTTGTGTCTTTTTTAATATCAAGGAATATTTCACTTTCTCTGGTCATAGGAGTAACAACATGAATTGGTGCATGAGGCAGAAATAACGCAGTGCGACTTGAGTTTCGCCATCAGCTGGTAGACTGAGGGACGGTGAGTCGGGTGTGAGGCAGCCTCACCGCTACTACCTCCCCTCAGACTGACCATCAGATGCAGGCCATCAGTCCAGAAAAAAATTCTAATGATTATGCTCACTCAGCTGTGCCTCACAAGTAATACAACAAATGATCTATTACCTGAGTGATCATATACCTACATTAAAAAATATATATAATTTCAAAATGGTCTGAGAAGAACAACTTTGGCAGGGCAAATCAAGCATAGCCAATATGCAGTGATAATGTATTGGGCCTGTAGCCTACTGAATAAACCTCATTGCTACAGAACTGTTTTTAATTGGTTAATGTTGCATTGGCTTACGTTTTTTAAGTCACATTAAAAAAAAATCTGAGCGATAGATATCTGCTTGCATTTTGACTCAGAAAGTGATCTTGACTCAGAAAAGGTTGGTGAGGTGACCACTGGTTTAAATGGACACGTAACATTTGATTTATGATTTTTCAATAACTCAGCCATCCTTTGACTAATTGCTTAGCTTTTTGTGTGCATATTAGCGTATGTGCTAATATGCATCTACTGGTATAGTGTGGCCATCTTTGTGTGCATCAACATTATTTCCTCAAACTCTATAGGGACTATTGTGATGAGTGCAAATACCAAATTCGGAGTGAATCTGACATTTCTTCCTTGAGAAGAAGACTTTGTTTGATTATTTTAAGCGTTATATTGTAAAAATTAAAGTTAATTGTTAATATTTTCCTGATTTTTTAAAGATATCAATGCTAAACTTAACATGGTTCATCATGGTAATGTCTTTGATGACCCCCAAAAGCCTCATGTTGATAGGCCATTGTTGGATTTACAAAGGATTTAAATGGCAAGTCAAATCCCTTAGCTTTTCTCAAACTAAGTTAAGAGATGTACCTTGGGCCTACATACCAAATTTGGTGTTATTTGGATTTACAGATGTAGGATCTTAATTTGAGCCAGTTTGCTATAGCAGGAAAATAATCCTGCAGTAAGATGAAATGTGAATTATTATATGGATTACAATTAATGGACATGTTTTGTAGGGGTTGATCTATTTTTCACTAGGACAAATCAAGTCTGAGATTTCAAAGTTGAAATTCCAAACTTTAGAAGTTAAAACTCAAATACACTGAGTGTACAAAACATTAGGAACTCCTTCCTAATATTGAGTTGCACCCCAATTTGCCCTCAGAACAGCCTAAATTCGTCGGGACTCTAAAAGCTGTTGAAAGCGTTCCACAGGGATGCTTTCAACATGATGGAGGAAAATCTATCCTGATGGAATTTATGGGTCCCTGATGTAAATTTGTTCAGCATGAGGAAAGACACCTACATTCAACGTTTCAAGTCTGTAGGTCAAACGGGGTGACGGATATGAGGGTTTAAGTGAGACTGCTTATAACAACGCCACCTATAGGCCAATCGGTGCCATTTTATTTAACCAAATTACTCATGGCCTCTAGTTTCTGTGTGCCAAATTAGAAAGTAGTTACCAATCTATGCTTGAGTTATTTGACCATGTCAAGAAAAAAACATAGAATAACAATAGGTTTCACAGCTTTGCTTTGAACCCCTAATAAAACACATTACAAATGTAATTCAGTAATGAATCTACTCCAGTGTAATTTGTGCACTGTACCATAAGTTTGTTTTTAGATAAAGTACATGCCAGGAGAAGAACGCTAATTGGACAGGATTATTGTACATATACAGTCAGGTCCAAATGATTGGCACCCTTGATAAAGATGAGCAAAAAAGACAGTATAAAATAAATAATACAAATACTGAGCTACACTGAGTGAGACATGGATTGTGTATGTGTGTCATTCAGAGGGTGAATGGGCAAGACAAAATATGTAAGTGTTCGAACAGTGTATGGTAGTAGGTGCCAGGCACTGGGTTTTTCACACTCAACATTTTCCCATGTGCATCAAGAATGGTCCACCACCCAAAGGACATAGAGCCAACTTGACACAACTGTGGGAAGTATTGGAGTCAACATGGTCCAGCCAGCATCCCTGTGGAATACTTTCGACACCTTTTTGAGTCCATGCCCAGACGAATTGAGGCTGTTCTGAGGGCGAAAGGGGGTGCAACTCAACATTAGGAAGGTCTACCTAATGTACACGCAGTGTATATTGTATGCTCAAAATAATGGGAAAATTATATGCTTTAATACTAATTCAATTGAGAGAAAAATTAAGAGCTTTTGTTTAACAAGTAATAGAAAAATATCTAAAAAAGATAGGGGTCAACATTATTGGCACCTCTAATTCCTTTCAATACCTCACCTTGCGAGGATAACGGCACTGAGCCTTTTTCTCAAATGTTTTATGAGATTGGAGAAGACATTTGGAGGGATCTTACACCATTCCTCCATAAATAATCTTTCAGATCCTTGATATCCTTCGTCTGCACTTGTGGACTTCCCTCTTCAATTCAAACCACAGGTTTTCAATGGGGTTCCGGAGACTGAGACATTGCAAAATGTTGATTTTGTGGTCAATTAATCATTACTTTGTGGATTTTGATGGGGGCTTGGGGTTATTGTCTTGCTGGAAGATCCACTTGAGGTCAAGTTTCAGCCTCCTGGTAGAGGCAACCAGGTTTTTGGCTTAAATGTCCTGGTACTGGGTATATTTCATGACCTTAACAAGGAATCCAGCACCATTAGAAGCAAAATAGCCCCATAACATCAAAGATCCACCACCATTTGTTACAGTAGGTTTTAGGTTCTTTTCGGCATATTTTTCCTCTTTTCGACACCAAACCCACCACTGGTGTGCATGGTCAAAGGGCTCTATTTTCATGTCTCAATTGGTTAGAGGAGCATTTGGAAATGTTTTGGTGAAAACATTCCTAACAATCCTGCTATTATGAAGTGACTCAATACCGTCTATTTTGGTAAGGTTTCTCTAAGGGTTGAATCAAAGGGTCATTTTACTGTGCAGGTTTTCCTCAGTGCATTTTTGACTGTATTCCAGGCCATGTCTAATAACTTGTCAATTGTCTAATATATGTTTTGTCTGCCGTACAAATGAACCCTGGTTACTATGAGGTAATTAGTGAATCAGTGTGATTAGAGGAGTTTCTCATATTGTTCTGCAGAGCGACAACAATCTGAAGCAATACATTTAATCCCAGTCCTTTAATCTCACCTCTCCACACTGAGGCATGGTGATTACACTCTCTCTTGTTTAAATCATGAAGTGCTTTGAGAGACTAGTCAAGGATCATATCACCTCCACCTTACCTGTCACCCTAGACCCACTTCAATTTGCTTACCACCCCAATAGGTCCACAGACGATGCAATCGCCATCACACTGCACACCACCCTATCCCATCTGGACAAGAGGAATACCTACAGTGGAGAGAACAAGTATTTGATACACTGCCAAGATCTCGCGATACATGGCCCCATCCATCCTCCCCTCAATACGGTGCAGTCGTCCTGTCCCCTTTGCAGAAAAGCATCCACAAAGAATGATGTTTCCACCTCCATACTTCACGGTTGGGATGGTGTTCTTGGGGTTGTACTCATCCTTCGTCTTCCTCCAAACACGGCGAGTGGAGTTTAGACCAAAAAGCTATATTTTTGTCTCATCAGACCACATGACCTTCTCCCATTCCTCCTCTGGATCATCCAGATGGTCTTTGGCAAACTTCAGACGGGCCTGGACATGCGCTGGCTTGAGCAGGGGGACATTGCGTGCGCTGCAGGATTTTAATCCAAGACGGCGTAGTGTGTTACTAATGGTTTTCTTTGAGACTGTGGTCCCAGCTCTCTTCAGGTCTTTGGCCAGGTCCTGCTGTGTAGTTCTGGGCTGATCCCTCACCTTCCTCATGATCATTGATGCCCCACGAGGTGAGATCTTGCATGGAGCCCCAGACCGAGGGTGCTTGACCGTCATCTTGAACTTCTTCCATTTTCTAATAATTGCGCCAACAGTTGTTGCCTTCTCACCAAGCTGCTTGCCTATTGTCCTGTAGCCCATCCCAGCCTTGTGCAGGTCTACAATTTTATCCCTGATGTCCTTACACAGCTCTCTGGTCTTGGCCATTGTGGAGAGGTTGGAGTCTGTTTGATTGAGTGTGTGGACAGGTGTCTTTTATACAGGTAATGAGTTCAAACAGGTGCAGTTAATACAGGTAATGAGTGGAGAACAGGAGGGCTTCTTAAAGAAAAACTAACAGGTCTGTGAGACCCGGAATTCTTACTGGTTGGTAGGTTATCAAATACTTATGTCATACAATAAAATGCAAATGAATTACTTAAAAATCATACAATGTGATTTCCTGGATTTTTGTTTTAGATTCCGTCTCTCACAGTTGAAGTGTACCTATGATAAAAATTACAGACCTCTACATGCTTTGTAAGTAGGAAAACCTTCAAAATCGGCAGTGTATCAAATACTTGTTCTCCCCGCTGTATGTAAGAATGCTGTTCATTGACTATAGCACAGCATTCAACACCATAATACCCTCCAAGCTCATCATTAAGCTTGAGGCCCTGGTTCTCAACCCCGCCCTGTGCAATTGGGACCTGGACTTCCTGACGGGCCTCCCCCAGGTGGTGAAGGTAGGAAACAACATCTCCACTTCGCTGATCCTCAACACTGGAGCCCCACAAGGGTGTGTGCTCAACCCCCTCCTGTACTGTTCACCCATGACTGCGTAGCCATGCACGCCTCCAACTCAATCATCAGGTTTGTAGACGACAAAACAGTTGTACAGCATCCGATGTCACAGGAAGGCCAAAAAGATAATCAAGGACAACTACCACCCAAGCCACTTTCTGTTCACCCCGCTATCATCCAGATGGCGAGGTCAGTACTGGTGCATCAAAGCTGTGACCGAGAGACTGAAAAACAGCTTCTATCTCAAGGCCATCAGACTGTTAAACAGCCATCACTAGCACAGAGAGGCTGCTGCCTACATACAGACTTGGAAATCACTGGCCACTTTAATAAATGGAACACTAGTCACTTTAATAATGGCATTTTAATAATGTTTACATATCTTGTATTACCCATCTCATAAGTATATATTGTATTATATACTATCTATTGTATCTTAGCCTATGCCGCTCTGACATCCATATATTTATATATTCTTATTCCATTCCTTTACTTAGATTTGTGTGTATTAGGTATTTGTTGTGGAACTGTTAGATATTACTTGCTAGATATTGCTGCACTGTCGGAACTAGAAGCACAAGCATTTCGCTACACTCACAATAACATCTTCTAACCATGTGTATGTGACCAATACATTTTATTTTATTTTATTTTACAATAAAGAATGAGAAGTAATTATCACACTAGTTTTCATTACATTTAGTTTATGGAAGGATTTAAGCAAGCAAATGTTGGCTGATGGGGCTTATAGGATTTATTGATTAAATCATTCCTGCCATTTACACAAACTAGTACTTTGATTTACACACATGCACATATGAACGCACACATGTACACACACAAATCTTTTTCCTTTTTTCTAGAGTCTGGATTTGGCCCCAAGACAATACAGAAATATCTTCCGTAATTTTCTCCTTCCTCTGACTGTGTCATTTCCACTCTACACAGCTATACAGAGACACAATAATAGTGTCTGAGCAGAAGAAATATGTGGTCCTCTGTAGCTCAATTGGTAGAGCATGGTACTTGTAATGCCAGGGTAGTGGGTTCGATCCCCGGGACCACCCATACGTAAAAATTTATGCACACATGACTGTAAGTCGCTTTGGATAAAAGTGTCTGCTAAATGGCATATTATATTATATATTGTCTACTAATATTTCATTCTTGTACTAATGGGCACGGTGTTTGTGGGTACAGATGATTGAACAATAAGCTGTGATATAAAGGATCTAGGTGCTATTTAGCATTCTCCCCGGAAACCTACATGTTCTATTTGGAGAGGAGTGTGCTAAATTGGATTTATTAACAAATAACATTTGGACTGAGGAGGGCTAACTTGTTATAAGGAGTGGGTCAGGAATTACAATTGTCTGTCATAGTGTGTGTGAATCACACATGGTCCACATTTATGGGCTTGTATAAGAGAGACAACTTGTCAACAGCCTGCCCAACTTGAGTTTATTGGCATGTCTAATTCTGCCTAAATGGGTGAGATCTAACCCACAAAGACAAATAACACCAGGAAATTGGCTGTGCAGGTCAGTGCTGGAAAAGGTAAGACATACCAGTATCCTTGCCAGTCGAAGACACAGGGTCGCTTACCACCAGGAAATCATCACTTCAGACATTGAGTCTTGAAGATGGAAGGATACACTGTACAACAGGGTTGATAATTGTTGATAACGTACCGTACAGTGTTGTCCATGCGGGACACCGTGAGGTAGGCTGCCAGGTTGGCCGTGTAGGAGGAACACACAATGAGGGTGAAAAGCCACCAGCTGCCCATGACGATACGCAGAGCCACAGAACCCAGGATGGAGTCTCCCCCTAGAAACACAACATAAGTTAGAATGTACTGTATGAAGTCTTGAACAATATTATGTGGATTTGATTCATTGTTTGTGATATCACAACTTATTGCACCATCGGTTTTGTTTTAGCCTGTTGGTCCTAATGATCGGGTTCATTTTTTATAATGTAACTGTATTTTTCAGGTCCTCTTGAAAATGAGATCTCAATAAATTATTCTGCTCTCTCTCGCCCATCTCTGTATCATAGCACTTCATCACTCCATCGTACTCTTTCTGTCTCTCTGTCCATTTCTGTCTGAATTTTGCTCTCTCTCTTTAACCCCCTTTCTACCAAATACTTTTCCTCTCATTGTCTCTCTAAATGCTCCTCCACATTCCCACTGTTTGCCCAGGCAGCTATCTGGCTCTCTCTCCCTGTAGCAGGTCTAAGCACTCTGTCTCCACACATGGCCTAACTTCACAGAAAGCGGACGAGGAAATGTCAATGTGAATTATCATTTTGAAGAGTAAAGCCACAGAAATGTCATCTGAGAGATTCAGGCTGTGAGAAAAAAATAACATACATGTGTCTCCAAGTGTCACTATCAATGATGTACCCTTAGGACTGCTTCAAAAAGAAAAAGAAGAAAACCAGAGTAATATTGTGTTCATGCCGCACTTATGCCAAGGTCAAGAGGTTCTATATATTTATATTTTATAACAAAGCTCTGCCAAGATTTAGAATGCCATTATGTAAACCATCAGTTCCCAAACTAGGGGTTGCGACCCCATGTGGGGTCGCCTGATATGATAATGGGGTCGCAGGAGAATTATCAAAATCCTGGTTAAAAAAATATATAGATATATATAGACAGAATACCAGCTGACTGCTTCTTCCCTAAATAGTTATTGCATAGTTTGGAGCTGTGCTTTGGGTCATTGTCCTGTTGTAGGAGGAAATCTGCTCCAATCAAGCGCCGTCCACAGGGTATGGCATGGCATTGCAAAATGGAGTGATAGCCTTCCTTCTTCAAGATCCCTTTTACCCTGTACAAATCTCCACCATGCCTCCACCATGCTTGACAGATGGCATCAAGCACTCCTCCAGCATCTTATCATTTGGTCTGTGTCTCACAAATGTTCTTCTTTGTGATCCGAACACCTCAAACTTCGATTAGTCTGTCCATAACACTTTTTTCCAATCTTCCTGTGTCCAGTGTCTGTGTTCTTTTGCCCATCTTAATCTTTTATATTTATTGGCCAGATACAGCTTTTTCTTTGCAACTCTGCCTAGAAGGTCAGCATCCCGGAGTCGCCTCTTCACTGTTGACGTTGAGACTGGTGTTTTGCGGGTACTATTTAATGAAGCTGCCAGTTGAGGACCTGTGAGGCGTCTGTTTCTCAAACTAGACACTCTAATATATTTGTCGTCTTGCTCAGTTGTGCACTGGGGCCTCCCACTCCTCTTTCTATTCTGGTTAGAGCCAGTTTGCGCTGTTCTGTGAAGGGAGTAGTACACAGCGTTGTACGAGATCTTCAGTTTCTTGGCAATTTCTCGCATGGAACATTTCTCAGAAAAGAATAGACTGACGAGTTTCAAAAGAAAGTTATTTGTTTCTGGCCATTTTGAGCCTGTAATCGAACCCACAATTGCTGATGCTCCAGATACTCAACTAGTCTCAATCAGCACAACAGTTTTCAGCTGTGCTAACATAATTGCAAAAGGGTTTTCTAATGATCAATTAGCCTTTTAAAATGATAAACTTGGATTAGCAAACACAACGTGCCATTGGAACACATGACTGATGGTTGCTGATAATGGGCCCCTGTACGCCTATGTAGATATTCCATTAAAAATCAGCCGTTTCCAGCTACAATAGCCATTTACAATATTAACAATGTCTACACTGTATTTCTGATCAATTTCATGTTATTTTAATGGACAAAACAATTGCTTTTCTTTCGAAGACAAGGACATTTCTAAGTGACCCCAAACTTTTGAACAGTTGTGTATATATATAATTTATATATATATACAGTGAGGGAAAAAAGTTTTTGATCCCCTGCTGATTTTGTACGTTTGCCCACTGACAAAGAAATTATCAGTGTATAATTTTAATGGTAGGTTTATTTGAACAGTGAGAGACAGAAAAACAACAAAAAAATCCAGAAAAACGCATGTTAAAAATGTTATCAATTGATTAGCATTTTAATGAGGGAAATAAGTATTTGACCCCTCTGCAAAACATGACTTAGTACTTGGTGGCAAAACCCTTGTTGGCAATCACAGAGGTCAGACGTTTCTTGTAGTTGGCCACCAGGTTTGCACACATCTCAGGAGGGATTTTGTCCCACTCCTCTTTGCAGATCTTCTCCAAGTCATTAAGGTTTTTAGGCTGACGTTTGGCAACTCGAACCTTCAGCTCCCTCCATATATTTTCTATGGGATTAAGGTCTGGAGACTGGCTAGGCCACTCCAGGACCTTAATGTGCTTCTTCTTGAGCCACTCCTTTGTTGCCTTGGCCGTGTGTTTTGGGTCATTGTCATGCTGGAATACCCATCCACAACGCATTTTCAATGCCCTGGCTGAGGGAAGGAGGTTCTCACCCAAGATTTGACGGTACATGGCCCCGTCCATCGTCCCTTTGATGCGGTGAAGTTGTCCAGTCCCCTTAGCAGAAAAACACCCCCAAAGCACCTCTAATGTTTGATGGTGGGGATGGTGTTCTTGGGGTCATAGGCAGCATTCCTCCTCCTCCAAACACGGCGAGTTGAGTTGATGCCAAAGAGCTCGATTTTGGTCTCATCTGATCACAACACTTTCACCCAGTTCTCCTCTGAATCATTCAGATGTTCATTTGCAAACTCAGACGGCCCTGTATATGTGCTTTCTTGAGCAGGGGGATCTTGCGGGCGCTGCAGGATTTCAGTCCTTCACGGCGTAGTGTGTTACCAATTGTTTTCTTGGTGACTATGGTCCGAGCTGCCTTGAGATCATTGACAAGATCCTCCCGTGTATTTCTGGGCTGATTCCTCACCGTTCTCATGATCATTGCAACTCCACGAGGTGAGATCTTGCATGGAGCCCCAGGCCGAGGGAGATTGACAGTTATTTTGTGTTTCTTCCATTTGCGAATAATCGCACCAACTGTTGTCACCTTCTCACCAAACTGCTTGGCAATGGTCTTGTAGCCCATTCCAGCTTTGTGTAGGTCTACAATCTTGTCCCTGACATCCTTGGAGAGCTCTTTGATCTTGGCCATGGTGGAGAGTTTGGAATCTGATTGATTGGTTGCTTCTGTGGACAGGTGTCTTTTCTACAGGTAACAAACTGAGATTAGGAGCACTCCCTTTAAGAGTGTGCTACTAACCTCAGCTCGTTACCTGTATAAATCACACCTGGGAGCCAGAAATATTTCTGATTGAGAGGGGGTCAAATACTTATTTCCCTCATTAAAATGCAACTCAATTTATAACATTTTTGACATGCGTTTTTCTGGATTGTTTTGTTGTTATTCTGTCTCTCACTGTTCAAATAAACCTACCATTAAAATTATAGACTGATCATTTCTTTGTCAGTGGGCAAACGTGCAAAATCAGCAGGGGATCAAATAATTTTTTCCCTCACTGTATTATAATATAATCTTTGTATCTTGAAATCATTGTAATGTGGTTAACCTTAAAAATCAAAATGCAACTTATTCTAATCTAAAACCAGAGTGCCCTTACATCGTGGGAAAAGGCTGCACTTGACCGTTTCACTTGAATCATTCCCATGGTTAATGGCTAGGCCCGCTACGCTATGAAACCACACACTATTGCAGAGACTGATATTACAGGCCGCAATTGATATGGTGAAAACAATGTGTGGGGAGGCAGAGGCACAGAAACTCACATCAATACATTTGTCAGATAACACTGTGAAACTAAGAAATTATGCTATAGCTATCAATCAAGAGGAAACTGACTGAATGACTCAGAAACTCTCCAGCTTATGCTCTCCAAATGGATGTTAGCTGTGAGGGCCGAGATGCCGATGCATTGACTTTTGTTCGCTACATGTCGGGGGATGTTATTCACGAGGACATATTGTTCTGTCTCACGATACCTGAGCATGAAACGACACAACGGATGTTTAGTGTGCTGCGTGGCTATATTGACGAAAAACAGATTCCATGGGATCGAATGGTGGGCTTTTGCACAGATGGGGCTCTATCTATCACGAGATGACGGGCAGGCTTCTGCACTCTAGTTAGGAATGTGTGTCCCTCTGCCATATGGACGCATTGTATGATACACCGTGTACTGAACACAAGCATGAAGGGGAAATACAAAAACATTCTACAAATGAGTGACCGAATCAGTGGATTCAGAGGAAAGATTTCTTATTGGAGAGAAATCCGTTTGACTGTGATCCTGGCTCAGTTGAAAAGCTGATCAAGCTGTCATGTGACCGAATGCTGCATACAACGCATTCATGGGTCAATATGGAGGAGTTTTGGTTCCTGAGCATTAAAACTCATGGTACCCTTCGCCAGCTCATATCTGTGTGAAGCTGGATTCAGTGCTCTCATCTGCATTAAAACCAACTATCGATCCAGGTTGGATGTGACAACAGATATGAGGTGCTCACTGTCGACCACGACCCCTGACTTTGAGAAGCTCCGACGCGACATTCGTCAAGCACATGCATCTCATTAGTGGTGGTGAAATAAGAGACATTATGTCAGACTAATTTGCACTTGACTGTCAGAGCCCCACATTAAAAGTATGTGATGGTGAGTTGAGAACACTATCAGAAATACTGTTAGAATGTTTTGCAATTGACTGCCATAGCCCCGAATAAAAAAGTTAACATTAGCTGCTAATTACATTTTTTTTTTTCACACGGTTGGGGTCGCACTAATTTTCAGATATCAAAAAGGGGTCGTGGGCCAAAAAAGTTTGGGAACCTCTGATGTGCACCTTCTCACAATCATCCACAGTGTCATTCATATTTATCAACACATTTACGTCATCCTCCAAAGACATGTGAAAAGGTGAACAAGTGAAAATATAATAAAGCGAGGATTCCTAAAATGTTGTGGCCGTTTTTGGCTTAAAAAGGCTGCCGGCAAAGTGCTAGACGCCGTTGAGGGTTTAACAGTGGTTGCTGAAGTAGTCATTTATTCACATCTGAGATGCCTGGACCGGACCAGACTAAGAAACCTGATATTATTTCAGTCAAAGGCACCTATAAAACGCTATAGTGGGAAATGGGCACCATTCTTCAAATGAAACAACTCTGTGCTACCTGTATGTGTGGCATTCATAGGGACATAACAATAGCCTTTTCCATTGCTTTTATGTCTGGCTATAAACTGATTCTTTCCATAACATAGACTGACCAGGTGAATCCAGTTGAAAGCTGTGATCCCTTATTAATGTCACTTGTTTAATCCACTTCAATCAGTGTAGATGAAGGGTATGGAGACAGGTTAAAGAAGGATTTTCAAGCCTTTAGACAATTGCAACATGGATTGTGTATGTGTGCCATTCAGACGGTGAATGGGAAAGACAAAATATTTAAGTGCCTTTGAGCAGGGTATGGTAGTAGGTGCCAGGCACACCGGTTTGTGTCAAGAACTGCAACGCTGGTGGGTTTTTCACGCTCAACAGTTTCCCGTGTGTATCAAGAATGGTCCACAGCCCAAAGGACATCCAGCCAACTTGACACAGCTGTGGGAAGCACTGGAGTCAACATAGGCCAGCACCCCTGTGGAACGCTTTCGACACCTTCTAGAGTCCATGCCCCGACGAATTGAGGCTGTTCTGAGGGCAAAAGGTGTTCCTAATGTTTGATATACTTAGTGTATATCTGTCTATCCATCTAGCCATATATGGACCTATCTATCTTTGTGTCATATTGCTGCCAACGGTCAAAAGTCAGTGTTTTGTTGTCTGTGATATTGTAACAAGTAAGCATTTCACTGTATATGAAGCAACTTTGATGCAAGATGCTGGTGTCCCCAGCTTTCCCTTTGTGTGATGCCACAATACCAAGCTCACCTTGCTGCACAAAAGCTCCATAGACAATCCAGATGGCACTCTGGAGGGAGGTGGACACAGAGGTGGCCTGGTGTCCCCCTGGGGGACGGACCGACTGGACCCGCCTCAGGATGAAGATCATGACACTGACCACGGGGATAGCGGCTGCGATGCATGCCCAAACGGCCAGGTCAAAGGGCGCCAGGAGAGAGAAGATATTGATCTTCTCCTCTGACTTCCTCATCAGAATCCCCACAGAGTAGTCCAGGTAGCGCTTGCTGAAGTCCACCACACTTTCCCTCTCTGGAGTTATGGTGATGGCTGATACTGCCAAGTCTGCTCGCTGTGGATGGATAGAGAGATAGATCAGTTACAGCCTTGAAAATACTCTGTTTGTTGATGTTTGCCATTTTATGGTCACAGAAAAAAGTTAATAACACTGTAAAATCGCTCTTTGTACTGTTATATGGGCTTGAAACTAGAGCGTCACGATTTTCTCCTCTGTTCTTTTTTTCTTTCACACTTCTTGTTCTATTTCACACAGCAGAAGGCCATGCAGACCAATAGAGGCCGGACAGATTCCACATGCCAATTAACTACATTATTTTATTGTAAAGCTTTATTGTAAAGGCTAATCTCAAATCACAGACTTTCAGTACATTGATCACGTTGCTAGTATCTGTTTTTCTCATTTCACAGCAGTATCAACACTCTTGTAATGGCATGGTTTTGGACACCTGCTGCTAGAGTGGGACCCTATGACACAAATCATGTCTGGATTGTTGGGATAAACACTATCTCTTTAACTCAAGTCCATAATCAAATATAATTTGTCCCTATCTATCTTTCCATGAAGACCCAAACTATAATGGACTCCACTGTGTCAAGGCTACAGTCAGCTACCCAGGGAGGAGAGAACTGCAGCAATTGGGAAAGACGATGTCATCAGAACAGTCAACAGCAAACTATCAATAAACCTCCAAAACAAACAGTACAAACTCCAGTTGTGATGGACAGACTTACCTTACTGATGAGCTCTCCTATAATGCCGTTCCAGGAGCCGTTGGAGGTAGGGGTTCCATACTTTCCATCGGCCACCTGGTAAATCTCATACTTGAAGCCCAGGATCTTGCCCAGAGCATCCAGAACATCAATGGAGAAGCCTTTGTAGCGTTTAGGCTGCCCAAGAATGTTTTCAGCTACCATCACAAAGGGTTCCTCCTGTTGGATAACATATACAACACAACATCAGTTGGGTTTAGAAGTTCAACTTTACTTTGACTAAATGCCTTGGCTCAAAAACATACAGACATAGAGTATTCATGCAGCCAAAGTTTAAACGCTACTGTAAATTTGACAAAGTGTCTGTGTGCATTATATCACAGTCCCATCAGGCCAGCATAGTTCATAAACTGGTCCAGTTCAACCGACAGGTAGAACAGTATTTTTTTCATTTTGAACTTTATGAAGACCAGCTGCAAGTCAAACTTCATCTTCATAAAGAGTTTCCTGGGTGTCTGTTGACCTGTAACACCCAGTGCTGTGGAGACGTGTGACACTTAATCAGGCAGAAATTCCCACTCTAAATGTACTGAGGCAAACCATGGCTCTTCTTTATGGGAGAGTGTCAAGGCTGAATTGAATGGGTGGAAAAGAGAGTTGAGGAGGAGAGCTGCTGGGGTGGGTTGGAAAAACGACATGAATTAAGGAGACCTGCCAAGAGGGAGCCGAGCAGAACTTATGTGAATAAATATGAAGCAGGTAAATCTTGTGTGAAGAGAGAGAGCAGAATGGTAGCGGACAAGCAGCTAAAGAGCTGTATTGTATGGTTTCCCTTACAGAAAAAAACACATCATTTAACATATGGAAAATCATATTATTTCACATGAAATTTTACACATTTTACATCATGTGAAAATGTGTTTTTGGAACAATTCACGTGATCACATTTTCACGTGTAGTTTCATGTTATCCAGCCTGGTCTCATAGGCGTAACATAGTAAAGGTAAATCCGAGACGCTCAAATTAGTATAATATGTTACGTTTGGTATGGTTACATAAGACAGATCGTTACTTAGGGGTGGATGGGTGGGAGTATAACGCAAACATCAAATCTCATCATGGCCAACTTTTGCATTTTAGCTAATTATAAATTTTTCAACTACTTCCCACTTTTTAGCTACTTTGCAACTACTTAGCATGTTGGCTAACCCTTCCCATAACCCTAAGCTTAACCCTTTTAGCTAACCCGTCCGCTAACCCTAACCTTAACCTTTTAGCTAACCCTTCCCAAATCAATCCCAGAACAACAGCAAAGGACCTTGTGAAGATGCTGGAGGAAACAGGTACAAAAGTATCTATATCCACAGTAAATTGAGTCCTATATCGACATAACCTGAAAGGCCACTCAGCAAGGAAGAAGCCACTGCTCCAAAACCGCCATTAAAAAGTTTGCAACTGCACATGGGGACAAAGATCGTACTTTCTGGAGAAATGTCCTCTGGTCTGATTAAACAAAAATAGAACTGTTTGGCCATAATGACCATCGTTATGTTTGGAGGAAAAAGGGGGTTGCTTGCAAGCCGAAGAACACCATCCCAACCGTGAAGCACAGAGGTGGCAGCATCATGCTGTGGGGGTGCTTTGCTGCAGGAGGGACTGGTGCACTTCACAAAATAGATGGCATCAAGAGGAAGAAAAATTATGTGGATATATTGAAGCAACATCTCAAGAAATCAGTCAGGAAATTAAAGCTTGGTCGCAAATGGGTCTTCCAAATGGACAATGACCCCAAGCATACTTCCAAAGTTGTGGCAAAATGGCTTAAGGACAACAAAGTCAAGGAATTGGAGTGGCCATCACAAATCCCTGACCTCAATCCTATAGAAAATGTGTGGGCAGAACTGAAAAAGCATGTGCGAGCAAGGAGGCCTACAAACCTGACTCAGTTACACCAGCTCTGTCAGGAAGAATGGGCCAAAATTCACCCAAATTATTGTGGGAAGCTTGTGGAAGGTTACCCGAAACGTTTGACCCAAGTTAAACAATTTAAAGGCAATGCTACCAAATACTAATTGAGTGTATGTAAACTTCTGACCCACTGGGAATGTGATGAAAGAAATAAAAGCTGAAATAAATCATGCTCACTACCATTATTGACATTTCACATTCTTAAAATGAAGTGGTGATCCTAACTGACCTAAGACAGGGAATTTTTACTAGGATTAAATGTCAGGAATTGTGAAAAACTGAGTTTAAATGTATTCGGCTAAGGTGTATGTAAACTTCCGACTTCAACTGTAACTGGAGTCTCTCGTATTTACGTAAAGAATAATATAAAATGCTCTGAGACCAGGTTGTCTTATCACATTAACTTGACATAAGATCATGTGATCATATGAAAATATTTGTTTTTTTCTGTTAGGGTGGAGTTTATGTCTTACAGATGTCGTAGATCCACAGAGCCAGATGAAGAAGAAGGACAAGGTGACCAGACAGAGTATAGTAGCATCAAGTGGCAAGTTGGTATAGAGTTGGTAGTGAGTAAGCACTTACTAGTAATGTTACCACCTTGACGGTCACTCCTTGCATGCCGCTCTCTATCCGACTCTCCTTTAGACTACCGTTCAGCCCACGAGTTGAGTCCCAAGTCGCCAACTGAGAGAGAGGATGGGAAAAGGAGACAATATAATTAAACAATCTATTAATTTCAGTGAAAACTCAATGGGGTGTGTGATGACTAATCTAATCACCATTGTTTGCACACAAGACTCACTCACTTTTAAGAATTGCAGGGAACTGGCCATGCAAATATATGAGCTGGTCACCAAGGCAACAAGTGCAGCTTCTAGCATGGTAACAGGGTCCTCTTTCTAAATACCGCATCAGTCACACAGCTTGTAACCATACTGAGGTAGTATGGACACAGCAACATATCATGGCAATGGATGCTGATTGCTAGAGTTGATGGTGGTGATGACATTGATGGTGATGATAATGAAGATGACAATGCACTGCAAGGGTTACAAATAAAACAAAAACATGATTACATTTATCTGAGAGAAATATAATAGCTAGATCTGCAGAGTGAAACATTATTTTTCTAATCTTTCACAGAAACAAATCCACATCCTCATGTGCCTTCACTGTGCTTCACCTAGTGCAATATAATGCATTATGCAACCAATACAAAGCCATTAATGCCAGTTTGACCTTGAATCTCTCTGGTTTGACAGGATGACAGGCAAGGAAATCAGATAATACACATTCTATTAGTTTAACCACCTCACTGAATCCAATCATGTCATACAGCTACAGCATCAAGACCATCACTCTGTTTTGGCTACCTTTTCACCTTACTGGGGAAGTAAAAGTTTTTCTTTCCTGTTAAATTCTTAATCACAGCTGCTAGCTGGACAAAGAACTGGCATATCTTTGGTAATAGCCCGGGGACCAAGCTGACATGACAAAGAGCTGGCCTTAGGCCAGACACCAGGTCTGTATCTAAACACAGAGCATAGCTCAGTCATCCACATGCAGCATGCCCTCTCTGCACAGCCCTCCTGTTGCCTACAGGCTATTACAACAATGTTGGGCCAAAATTAGAATGGACAGATAGTTTCAAAAGTAATATAAACCACTTTAATTATTAGCCCATTACAAATCATGTTAATTTTAAAATGTTATTTGGTTTGTTTGGTTTGTTCCAATCACAAACTTTTTCCACTTTCTATAAGACTAGGACATTTGAATGAATGAATTGGCTAATTATAGCAACGCTTTATTACACTAAGTTAATCCCTTTTAGCACTATGCCCTGTAGTCCACTATTCAAACTAACCCATTTCTACAAAAAGTTTGTAAGGATCATGGAGTCTTTGTTCTGTGCTTTAATGTAGTCTTTGTTCTCTGCTTTAATATGACACACAATCATACACTGAAGTATTGCCTATTGTCTAGTATTATTGATGAAGAATGTTGTAACACACTGTGCAACAGAGTGGACCTTCCAGTGCAGGAGACCTTACAACTTCCATTGACAATGAAGGGCATCAGTAACACAGGAGAGAAGAACGAGAAAGAGGAATGGGAGATCAAAATCCTGAACCAAAACTTCATGGGTTATTTTAAGACTTGGGAATTTCATCACAAGCCCAACTCTGAACATTGAAGGCTGATAGTGTTATGAAATATTGAGCGCTCCCTTGCGCATTCCCCCTTTATTTTCTCTCGAATTGAACAGGAATTGTTGAGTTCGAAAGAGATTAAAAAACAACATCAGTGTAGTTTGAAAAGTCAGGTTTTTCATGCCGTGTATGTATCAGTGCTTATGGAAAGCATGGTGAGAATGTAACAATCAAAGTATACTTTGGGTAAACACGTGTTTATACACGCCTACCATGACGTTGACAAAGCAGCATCAATGTCAGTAATGTGGATTCTGTGAGGAAGCATTTGTCTGTCATTACTGACAATGTAAGCCCAAACATAAACCAAAAAAATATTTAGATCAATGTCAATACATTCTGTGATTGTACAAACACTATGTCCAAATGGAAAATACAGACAAAGGGATAGTGATGATTTGATGTTACTTTATCTGTGTATGTTTCTTTATCCTTCAAAGCTCCTTTCTAATTGTCCAGTCTCTGCTTCTTCTTGAAGACCTTCAGATTACGCTGCTGAACAGGGGACTATCATACTCATACTTTATATTCTATCACTGTACAAAGAAAGTCTACATGCTTCTCTGACTTCCAAAGACAGTGTATTCATCTTACTGTGCTTATATAGGGAATTAATATGGTATGTGGGTGGGACGCTGCTATCAATATTAGATTGTCTATTAAACTCTATTACAATACGATGTTTGTTCTATAACATAAATATATCAATGTACACACTTTTAATTAAATTGTATAAGACTGGGTATATATTTTAGTGTGTGATAGAGTGGGAAGGGGTGTTGTATCAAGCTTTACCATGCTTTCATTAGGAATGCCATTCGTATAATGATGAAGATCAGCCTGTTTTCTTTGCACCTGGTCAATGTTTATAACAATCTAGTCTACATACAGTTGAAGTCGGAAGTTTACATACACCTTAGCCAAATACCTTTAAACTCAGTTTTTCACAATTCCTGACATTTAATCCTAGTAAAAATTCCCTGTCTTAGGTCAGTTAGGATCACCACTTTATTTTGAGAATGATTTATTTCAGCTTTTATTTCTTTCATCACATTCCCAGTGGGTCAGAAGTTTACATACACTCAATTAGTATTTGGTAGCATTGCCTTTAAATTGTTTAACTTGGGTAAAACGTTTCAGTTCTGCCCACAAATGTTCTATAGGATTGAGGTCAGGGCTTTGTGAAGGCCACTCCAATCCCTTGACTTTGTTGTCCTTAAGCCATTTTGCCACAACTTTGGAAGTATGCTTGTGGAGGTCCAGACTTGTGGAGGTCTACAATATTTTTTCGGAGGTCTTGGCTGATTTCTTTCGATTTTCCCATGATGTCAGGCAAAGAGGCACTGAGTTTGAAGGTAGGCCTTGAAATACATCCACAGGTACACCTCCAATTGACTCAAATGATGTCAATAAGCCTATCAGAAGCTTCTAAAGCAATGACATCATTTTTTTGAATTTTCCAAGCTGTTTAAAGGCACAGTCAACTTAGTGTATGTAAACTTCTGACCCACTGGAATTGTGATACAGTAAATTATAAGTGAAATAATCTGTCTGTAAACAATTGTTGGAAAAATTACTTGGTCATGCACAAAGTAGATTTCCTAACCGACTTGCCAAAACTATAGTTTGTTAACAAGAAATTTGTGGAGTGGTTGAAAAACGAGTTTTAATGTCTCCAACCTAAGTGTATGTAAACTTCAGACTTCAACTGTATCCATATGGTCCTTGTGTGTGTGTGTGTGTGTGTGTGTGTGTGTGTGTGTGTGTGTGTGTGTGTGTGTGTTAAATGTCACTGCTTTCTCCCTGCTTCATATGGGGCTATTTTCCCCATGAGTGGGCAGGTACTCTGGGGACTTAGAACTATCTCCAGGCCCTTTACTAAAGAGGAACACTTCTACTACACACATCTCTGCATACAGAGGTCATATGAAAGACCTCAGACACAAACACAACCATGTCCTTTGTGACATGCAGATAACAGATAAGGGAGGTAAAAATGCTACAAGATGTAATGTCTAAAACAATTTACAATATATGTATTTATTTGTAACACTTTCCAGTACATTTAGATTGCACTTGTGTGTGCGTCTGTGTCTCAGCACAGAGATGAACACAGAATAACTGAGTTTGATCTAGCTTGAACAAATAATAAGAGGAGCCATTGATTTATAGGATTATATTTCAGGAACAGTAGAGAAACACAAAATAATATAATAAATAACTACTGGTTTCCTCATTTTCTTCTTCTTCGAAAGAAAAATGCTACTGTAACAGCTACAGTATATGACAGCTATTGACTCTGATATGGTAGCTGCAGGCTTATCTAGTTTATAACTATCCATAATAGAACTCCACAATACCCAAGTGTTTTAACTATTGAATTCAAAACTACATAATGATCTCAAGGGAATATACTGTCCACTTCCACAGTCTCTTCCAAAATGCCTAATTAAAACAAAGTTTCCCTTGTTTGAGCTATTTGGAGTCTCCATTTCTACCGTCAGCTCCAGAAGCCTTACATATCGACATCCCCATCACACCACCAAGATCCTTATTGACCACACCGCTCAGTCTACCTCTGCCATTCAGTGTGTGTATGTATATTGGTTATTAGCACCATGGTTGCCTTTGTCTCTCTTAAAGGACAAATTAACTTTTTTTAAATCTCTATTTTTGGGGGGTTTGAGAAACTTACCCCAACAGCAATAGACTTCCTCGTGCATTTCCATGTTCGAGTATGTGTGTGCTTTCTCGTATCACCACAATGAGAACGAGAAAGCCCACGCATGCTTGCACACGGAAATGTATCGCTCGAGTCCAAAAAAACAGAATATAACGTTGACTATACTGAGAGCATTGCCATTTCTAAAATGACGTTTTTTTTTTTTTTTTGGAGGCTTTGTTCATGTTTTATCTCTGCCCCTGCAACTGTAGAACAAGCATGAGAAAGTATATTGCTGGTGGGGTAAGTTTCTCAAAACCTTGTGAAATTGCAAAAATAAGTTCCTGGACACCTCTATAACATGCCATTTATATACATGTTTTCGATTTGGTTTAAAATAAGTGAACTTGTCCTTTAACTGGGATAAAAGGATGGAGACGGTGTCTAGTCTTATCCCACCCCGCTGGAATAAAGACCTCCTCCATCCCTGTCATTTTGGAGAAAAAATTTGATAATACCTCACAACTCAAATTAGGACTACTTAATGTTAGATCCCTCACTTACAAGGCAGTCATAGTCAATGAACTAATCACTAATATTAAACGTGATGTGATTGACCTGTCTGAAACATGACTTAAGCCTGATGGATTTACTGAGTTAAATGAGGCCTGTCCTCCTGGTTACACTAGTGACCATATACCCCGCTCATTCCGCAAAGGCGGAGGTGTTGCTACCATTTTTGACAGCAAATTTAATTTTTTTAGATTCTAGTCATGAAATCTATGCAGCCTACACAATCCTTTTTTTACAGCTACTGTTTACAGGCCTCCTGGTCCGTATACAGCATTCCTGACTGAGTTCCCTAAATTCCTATCGGCCCTTGTAGTCATGGCAGAAACTATTCAAATTTTTGGTGACTTCAATATTCACATGAAGAACTCCACAGACCCACTCCAAAGGGCTTTCGAAGCCATCATCGACTCAGTGGGTTTTATTGAACATGTCT